CATATGAGGGTACAGCTCTAAAACTCAGTTTAATGGTTCTGAGGCCGGCTGGTAGTAAGGTTTCCTGAACTCTGTGGTAGCTCTCAGAGAAGCTAATTCCATAAATATCAGAGTAAACAGCTGCAAAATATCAGAGTATTAACAGTGCCATGTTGCGCATTGATGGTGTCCCTGTTAATGCTTTGGTGTGCATTGTCAAGGCCACATAAGGAGCCCTATGTCACGGCTTAGGGTTAATTAACAGGACTGAGACAACTGCATAGCTCATTCAAGTTCTCATTAAACCCAAATCATGACCAAAGTAACCAAAAATTTTAAACCTAAAAAACCATCCCCACCACCTAAATGTTTTAATATATCTTTTACAAATATTCGCAGTCTGCGAAGCAACTTTCCGTCAGTTGAGTCTTACCTCCTGCAAAATTCACCAGACTTGCTTGCACACAGTGAAACATATTTAAATTCTGCAATTCTTTCTTCAGATGTCAGTGTTGATGGGTACTATCCTTTGATTCGTAAAGACTCCAATAGTCACATGCTAGGTTTAGGGGTATACATACGCATTAATTCCCCTATTTGTCGTGAAATCAGGTTCGAATCCTTTGACCATCCTTTTATGTGCTTTTGCCTAGCACCTCTTCACTCTATCACCTTTCTCTTTGTTCTTTATCGTTCTCCTTCTTCCCATGATTGCACTATTTTAGATGTTATCTCTGATCAAATTGACCATGCCCTCTCTCTTTACCCCTCTGCCAATATTGTTATTGTTGGTGATTTTAATGCCCATCACACTGAATGGCTTGGCTCTAACACCACTGATCCTGCTGGCACTAAAGCCTTTAACTTCTGCATTTCTCATCTCTTACTCAGATAGTTAACTTTGTGACTCGTTTTCCTGACAACCCTAATCATTTACCTTCACTCCTTGACTTATGTCTTGTCTCTGACCCTAGCTTATGTTCAGTTTCTCTCTTTTCTCACTTAGGTGGTTCTGACCATGCAATGATCTCTAGAAATCTTTCTTCTCATACTTCTTTTTTGGGCTCACCTTATCATCGCACCACCTACTACTACCCTAAAGCTGACTGGGATTCTTTTTGTGATTTTCTTCGTGATGGTCCTTGGGCTGATGTTTTTTCTCTCTCAACTGATAAATGCGCCTCCTACGTAACCTCTTCGATTCAGGCTGGATTGGAAGCTTTTATTCCTTCTCGTCGATTTCAAGTCAAGCCTCATTCTACTCCATGGTTTTCTCCTTTTTGTGCGGCTGCTATATCCAATCGTAATCATTTTTTTCATCTTTTTCAAAAGAACAACTCTCTTGAGAACAAACGGCTATTTATTATTGCAAGAAATCGATGTAAAAAGGTGTTTTCTGATGCTAAACTCCATTATTCTCAGTTCACTAAATCTCGCATCTTATCACAGAAGTTAGGCTCTAAAGACTTTTTGAAAATCTTTAACAGCATTATTAACAAGGGTAGATCTAACATTACATCTCTCATTCATGGGACTGATCTTATTATCTCTCCCAAGGATAAGGCAGAACTATTTGCAAAGAACTTTTCTTCTAATGCCACTCTTGAATCTTATGGATATTCTCTTCCTTCCATTCCAGTCAAACAGGTTGACCCATTGTTAGACATTCAAACCACTCCGGCTTCTGTTGCTAAAGTCATATCTCAATTAAACTCGTCTACAGCTTGTGGTCCAGACAACATTCCTGTCAGAGTCTTGCAGAATTGTTCTCCAGAACTTTCTTCAATTCTCTCTAAACTATTTAACAAGTGTTTGACTGAGTCTTGTTTTCCTGCTTGTTGGAAAATGGCATCTGTGGTTCCAATATTCAAAAACTCTGGAGAAAATTCTGACCCCTCCAATTATCGTCCTATCAGTCTTCTTTCTGTTATTAGCAAGGTCTTTGAGACTTTGATCAACAAATTCCTCACATCTCATCTTCTCATCTTGAGTCAAACAAACTACTGTCAGACAATCAATACAGTTTTCGATCCTCTCGCTCTATGGCCGACTTGCTAACTGCTGTAACTGAAAGATTTTATCGTGCATTAGATGGAGGCGATGAGGCTAGGGCTATTGCTCTCGACATATCTAAAGCTTTTGACAAAGTTTGGCATGCTGGTCTTCTCCATAAGCTTGCTTCATATGGTGTTTCTGGGAATATTTTTGAGATTATCAAATCATTTCTTTCTAACCGGTTTATTAAAGTCATCCTTGAAGGCCAACACTCTTCTTTATTTCCAGTAACTTCTGGGGTTCCCCAAGGTTCCATCCTGGGCCCTGTTTTGTTTCTTATCTACATAAACCATCTTCCTGACAACCTTTCATCTAAAGTAGTTCTTTTTGCTGATGACTCAACTTTATACTCCTGTCTTGACAAAAAGTCTTCTCTTTTCGATCGCCTAGAACAAGCAGCTGATCTTGAATCCGATCTCACTTCAGTAATAGATTGAGGTTCACAGTGGCTTGTGAATTTCAACTCTAACAAAACCCAGTTGTTTACTGCAAACAACTACCGTAATATGGTCAACATTCCTATATTAATGAATGGCAATCCTCTTACTGAGTCCTCTTCTTTACGTCTTCTTGGATTATCGCTTACTACTGACCTTTCATGGAAACCATATATACAATCGATTGCTAAATTAGCTTCTGCTAAGGTTGCTTCTCTTTATTTTGCTCGCCATTCCCTTACTTCTGATTCCATTCTCTACCTCTACAAACCTCTTATTCGTTCCTGTATGGAATACTGTTATCATATTTGGGCTGGTTCTTCTAACAATTCACTTTCTCTTCTTGACAAGGTCCAAAAACGCATTGTAAATGTTGTTGGACCTGGACTATCTGCTAAGCTTGAACCTCTTCCCCATCGCCGTAAAGTTGCATCTCTTTCTCTTTTCTACAAATACTATCATGGTCACTGGTCAAAGGAGTTATCATCTCTAGTTCCATCAACTAAAATTCATTCTCGTTTTACTCGTCATTCAGCTAAGTCTCATTCGTTTACTGTATCTGTCCCAGCATGCTCTAAAAACTTTTATTCATCTAGTTTTTTTCCCCGCACTTCAATCCTTTGGAACTCTCTCCCATCTTCATGTTTTCCTGACTCATACAACTTCAAAACTTTTCAAGTCTTCTGTCAACCGTTTCCTTGCTTTATAACTCTGTTCTTTTTTTTCCTAGTAACTCCCAACTTAATAGTGGTTGCTTGCAGCCTTGTTGGGAGTGAATTCAAATAAAAAAAAAAATAATAATTTTTATCAGTTTTTTGGACTTTTTTTGGACTCAAATACAGCTTGTTTTTTTTAATAATTTAAAGAATCAAAAAAGATCAAAAAATTTTATGAATATAGGTCTACATCAGGTGGAAATATTTTAGATAATAAAGTAATTTATATATTCTGATAATTAGTTTTAAAAGTATGAAAATTATGAGTTAAATTATAAGAACTAAAAGTTATAAGAGTTTCAAAGAATGTTGTAAGATGTGTTTGTTGGTAAGTATCATTATTTTTGAAGAGAAGCCTGCCAAAAGTATTTAAAAACTTAGTACTAAAGGCTGACACAGCCTCAGGTCTTGTTAAGAAGAGTTACGCTGTACACATTTTATGTACAAAATGACAATTTTACCTTTAAGTTTAACTTTTATCTATTTGAATATTTTATTGACTTATTATATTTTAAACTTTATTTAAAAAAACATTAAGTCATAATTAATTATTGTAAAAGATATTTTCACCACTATTGAAATATATTACTTTTTTGACAAAAAAAACATATTGTTAGATAATTTTTTTTATTAGAGTTAAAAAAAAAGAAATGTTTAAAGTTTGAACTTTTCATTTAATTTAAAGATTTATAGTTAAAAATTAAATAAAGTTTAAAACATGAAATTAAATTTAAAAACTAAAATTTAAGTCTTTAAAAATGTAAAAAGACTGCACTTTTTTAAATTAAAGAACTAATTTTTTTTTGTTATATAATATTTTATTGTTTTACTTATCTCTTTAACTAAAGCACTGTTATAATTAATAACTTTTAAATCCACTATTAAAAGTTTTGATAGTGGACTTAAAAGTTATTAATTATAAAAGTGCTTTTAAAACAACAAAAAATCAAAAAAGTTTTAATTTAAAACTAATGATTAATTTGTTCCAAAAGCACATTAATTAAAAATTTCATGAAAACTAGAATTAAAATTCTTTTTTTGTTTGTTTGTTATTTGATAATTTGAAGCTGAAAAAAAGTTATGCATATAATTTATTGATGAATATCTGTGCATACAAATTTTTCTGAACTCAAATTTTTTTTTTTAAAACAAGTCCAACTCCATTAAATTGTTTTACGGCAAAAAACTTAATTTTTTATTTAGGAAGCGAGAAGCATTTTTTTTTTAAGAGAATTTTTTTCACAAATTGAATTAAAACTCTTTGTTTCTGATTTATTCATTTTTGTTAATTCAATATCAGAAAAAGTTCTTTTGACATAACTTTTATTTATAAACATAAGTTATGTTTTTGAATATCTGCTTGGTAATCTATTTACACACATTACGCTTTTTATCTGTTATGCCACAAAATCTTGTAACAAGGCTCGCAGCTTTTAGAGTATAGAGGTGAATACATTGTACTCCCAAGGTCGAGAGACCATTAATTGTCACTTAGAAAACAAGTACTCTACCAATACCCCATTGACTTATTTAACTGATTGGTATATTTTGATTATATTTGATCTATGGTTTCAAAGCTTGATAACAAATCTACAAAAGTGCTCATTGCTGAAACTATTTTTTATCACAAAATGGAATGTTTAGTGTTGTATGTTTTATGTTGTATAAACCTTTTCTATTTTTATGTTGTATAAACCTTTTCCTTGCAAAGTGATTATAAAGAAGTCTTAAGCAAACCAGTATTAACAACAAAGTCATTTATATGTGAATATATTTATGTATTTGTTTCTTAAAAAAAAAAGAAACAACATACCATAGGACCACAAAAATGGCGCAAAAATTTCTTTTGCTTCATTTTGTCTTTTAACTTTAAACTATTCTCTTCATTGACCATAATAGATGCAAACATCATATTAGAAGTAGCAAGGGTTTGTTGATGTATGTTGCAGAATACCTGATTTAATCGTCCAATATATATGTATATAAAAAAAACAGTCATCAGTATAAAATATAGACCAAATGCAACCTGAGAAACATATATGTTGGTTTCTTCAAGCGATTTATGAGGATATGATTTCCCAAATATTATCAACCACATATTGTAAGCCTACAAATTAAATAAAAAAATTCAGGAATAAAAAAATACAATAGGGTTTGGGCTAGTTTTCATTAAGCTTTTTACTTATTTAAATATGAAATTCAAAAAAGGAAATTTTTTACAACCAAATCCTTACATTATCTTGTTTTGCAAATCAAAAATGAGTATTTAATATATATATATATATATATATATATATATATATATATATATATATATATATATATATATATATATAAACATATATATATATATATAAATATATATATATAATATATATATATATATATATATATATATATATATATATATATATATATATATATATATATATATATATATATATATGTATATATATATATATATATATATTTACACTTACTAAAGCGTGTTTTGATAAGCATTTGCTCACTTTTTCTGCTTACCTTAAGTTGTACCATTTTTTTTGAAAAAGAAGAAAAAAAAAAGAAGAATGATGAATATATATATATATATATATATATATTTAAAATATATATATATATATATATATATATATATATATATATATATATATATATACTTAATATATATTTTATATATATATATATATATATATATATATATATATATATATATATATATATATATATATATATATACTTAAAATATATATATATACTTAAAATATATATATATTTAATATATATATATATATATATATATATATATATATATATATATATATATATATATATATATATATATATATATATATATATATATATATATATATTTACATAATTACATATATTTTTTTAAATTTACTCAATACAATCATTCAAGAAAATCAACTATGTATTTTCTAATAAAAAAGAGAAAGAATTAGTTGACTACTTGAAATTGAAGGCTTTTTGGTGATTTTGCCCCCAAAACAGTAACACAACTTGCAAGTGAAAATAAAAAGAATTTTCCAGCTATGTGGACTAAATATGAACTTGCACTGAATGATTAAGTGAATTAATTCATGAAACTCAATAAAGATTAATCACTATGCATTCCCGAAGCTACTAGTTTATCTCATGCTACTGCCTTCATTAGGTACAATGTAGGCCACTTTTTAAAAATTTAAAAGTGAATTAGACTCATACAATTCTCATCAACAAATATGGAAGAGGGAGGTATTACTACTGTCCATAAGGTAAAAAAATAGTACTTTACAAAGGTATCAAAACTTCAGAAGAGCGTGGGCAGATTGTTACTGTGTGTGGATAAATGCTTTAATAAACCACTTACCACCATTTACGACTGCCAGGAACAGAGGAAGCTGTTCACCCAATCGTTTAAATGACTGGTCCAAACTTTTTATTGTTCTTGAAATTCTTTATAAATCATGTGAGATGCAGAAAAGATTCTCCTAGACTTATTGTTTTTATTGACAATGAAGCATCACACCTAACAGTTGAATCAATAAATTTTTGAAAAGATAATGCAATTAATCTTTTTACTATTCTACCTCGTACATCTTAAAAACTGCAACCTTTAGACAGCATAATATTTGGGATAAGGAAATCATACTTTACCAAAACATGTGATAATTCTCTCTCTCATTTTGGGTGCACAGACAGGAAGATTTAACAGGTAAAATATATCCCAGCTGTTGCAGGGGTATATATTACCTGTTAAATCTTAAAAATCTACCTATTTTTGCACCTCTACCAACAGTAGTGAAAGGGAATTGAGCTCAATAAATACTATGAATATAGAATATTAAAACATAACACAAAAATTAAGAATCTAATTCTAATACTGCTGAACCATTCCCATCAACATTAGCATTTGTAAATCCTGCAGCTATAAGATCCTATCCAAATCATAACATTTGGAGCCCTTTGCTATGGCTTAGAGTTTATTAATAGTAATGAGGCAATTGCTTGGACTATTAAATAGTGTACTGAGTACTATCTATGCTTTGATTCAAGTTCTTTAACAAATTTAAAAATGAATAAAGTTCCAAAAACTATAAAGTGCAAAAAACCATCATCATCACCAAGTTGTCTAAATCTATCATTCACTAATATTTGTGGAAATCAAAGAAACTTTTCTTCTGTTGAGTTTTATCTCTTCCAAAGTTCATCAGACTTACTTGCTCTTTGTGAGACTAATTTAAGTTCGGTCTTCTCATCTTGTGACCTTGGTATTGATTGTTATCTTCCTTTAATTTGTAAAGACTTCAATATTTACATGCTTGGCCTGAGCACTTATATTTGTAAGATTATTCTTTTATGTACTTTCTTTTATCACCGCTTCACTCTGTTTCCTTTTTGTCTTTTTGTTCTATATCGCTCTCCTTTATCTCAAGAATGCACTCATTTCGATGTTATTTCTGATCAAATTGACCAAGCCCTCTCTCTTTATCCATCAGCCAATATCGTTGTTGTTGGTGACTTTAATGCTCATCACACTGAATGACATAGTTCTCTGGCGACTCTGCAGGCTTTGAGGCCCTCAACTTTTTCCTTTCTCAATCTCTAACTCAAATAGTCAACTTTCCAACTCACTTTCCTGATAACCCAAATCATTTACCTTCTCTACTCAACTTATGCCTTGTTTCTGATCCAAGTTAGTGCTCAATTTTTCCATTCACCCTTATGCTTCTGATCACAGTTTAATCTTTCTAAAACTATTATGTGCTTCTTGCATAACTTCTTGGATTCATGCTGGCATAGAATCTTTCATTCCCTCTCAATAATTTAAAGTCAAGCCCCACTTTTCTCCATGGTTTTCCTCACTGTACTGCTAATCAAAACCATTACTTTTTTATCTATCAGCAAAACATTTCTCAGCAAACAGATGTCTGTTTACTATTGCTAGAAAACATTGTATAAAAGTTCCATCTAACCCTAAAGCCCACTATTCTCAGGTCATGAAATCTCGCATTTCATCTCAAAAATTAGGCTCTTGTGACTTCTGGACAATCTTTAACAGTATCAATATTAAGGGCAAGTCTTTTATTCCACCTCTCTAATATGGTTCAGATTTTGTCACCTCATATAAAGACAAAGCTGAATTGTTCGCTTGGAACTTTTCATCAATATCATCTCTTGATTCTAGAAGTTGGGTTCTACCTAATATAGCCAACAAATAGGTTGATTGATTGCTTGACATTCATATCACTCCAGCATATCTCTATTTAAAGTGATTTCCTGCTTAGATTCTTCTACAGCTTGTGGTCTTGCAGAAGTTTTTTATTTTCAAAACTATTTAACAAGTGTTTATCACAGTCTTGTTTTCCAGCTTGCTGAAAAATTTTTAAAAACTCTGGAAAGCAATCTGACTTGTCTAACTTCTGTCCCATTAGTGTTCTTCCTATCATAAGCAAGGTTTTTGAATCTTTAATTAACAAACATTTAATTAATCTCATAACTTTCTGATCATCAATGTGGATTTTGATCTAGTCGGTCTACAGCTGATTTGCTAACAGTAATAGGTTTTATTGTGCATTAGATAGGTTAAAGCTATCACTCTTGACATTAGTAAATTTGACATGTTGTAAATTGTGGTACAACCCTCTCTCAACTCTTTAACTCCAAAACACAAACCTTGACAAGCAAGACCGCTGCGCTGAGAAATTAAGTTGAGCGCGGTACTTCCAGGGACGTGGTGGCAGTCGAAATCCGAACTGCTCGCTTACAAAGCTCTTACCACTACACCACTACCGCATATGACACCACTACCACATATGGCATATGACACCATACCGCATATATCAAATCCATTACAAAATTTGCATCTGCTAAGGTTGCATCTCTTTATTGTGCTCGACACTTTCTTACTTCGAATTCTATTGTTTATCTCTATAAATCTCAAATCCATCCTTGTATAGAATACTGTTGCCATATCTGGGGCAGATCTTTGAATGATGCCCTTTCTCTTTTAGACAAGGTGCAAAAACGCATTGTAAACATAGTTGGACCTGCTCTTGCAGCCAACCTCCAACCATTATCACATTGTCATAATGTTGCTTCTCTTTCTCTTTTCTACAAATACTATAATGTGCACTGCTCTAAAGAGCTAGTTCCTCTTGTGCTATCTACTAAAATTCATTCTTGTGTTACTCCTTATTCAATTAAGTCTTATCTTTTTTCTGTGACTGTTCCTAAGTGCTCCAAAAACTCTTATTTGTCTAGTTTTTTCCCTCTAACATCAGTTATTTGGAATTCGTTTCCTTCATCTTGCTTTCCTGATTCATATAATTTGCAATCTTTTAAGTCATCTTATAATCCTTATCTTGCTTTACAAACCTTATCTTTTCTCTTCCAGTAACTTCTAACTCTAATAGTGGTTGCTTGCAGCCTTGTTGAAAGCCAAAATATTGAAAAAAAAAAAAATTCAATCTCAATAAATCAGGTGAAGAGAGTGAAGATGATGAAAATGACACTGATAATTAAAAGATAGTGATATTACAATTGATGGAGACTGAGCAATTATTAATTTCACAAAAAATAATTATAAAAAGATATGCTGGACAAACAATTAGTGAACCTGAAACAGGATATGCCATCAAATTTGCCATAATATTAACAATAGATCTTTTAAGATCCTATTAGAGCATTTGCAAGATTTTCAAATAGTGAAAAAATTATCTTCTTCAAAACTATCATCAAGGAGATTGATTAGTATTGAGTTTCCAAATTCATTACAAAAATTTAACAATGAGTTAATGAACTTAAATGGCTAGAGTTCTGCCTCAGAACCATGATGTTAGAGGTTTGACGCCAGAAATAGCCCAATAAATGAAATTGGTAATGAAACAGGTATGAACTTCTTGGTTAAATTCTCCTCCACCATGTTTTGTAATAAGACAGTTAATTCTGTAATAAGATTAGGTCATTTTAGAACACCAAAAAAATAATGCCAAAATAATTGAATTTTTGTGTTTTGCTATTTATCAGAAGTTGATTTAAGTTTTATAGGAAACTTAATAGAAATTTTATTGTCATAGTGAATTATTTAACTTGATCTTATTATATCTTTTTATATTAAATAAAATACTATATTATTGATTTTATTATATTGTACAAAGTATTGTAATAAAAATTGACTTGATTAAACCAGAGTGAGATTTAGGAAGGGGTTAGATATTATTGTTTTTGAGAGAACAGATAGAATAAAATAATTCTTTTGACAACAAATTATGTCACTTTTAATTACTTTTGACTTTCATCCAACTTATTCATATTGTCTTAAAACTGAATCCAATCAATTAATTGCATATATAATTAAGGGTTTAGTTAAATTAAACTTAATTGACTTAAATCTTCTTTTTTTAACGAAAAATGTGTTTGTTTCTATTTTTTTAATGTCCCACACTGTTTTTATTATTCAGTTTTTTTTTTTCATTAATTGTTATATTATTTTTATCTTATCGACAGTTTTATTTTCCAGGGATTGGCACAGTGTAGTGTACATATATTGACTGATTTAAATAGGTAGAACATGCAAAGAGTATACATAAATGGACTGACTTAATGAAGTAAAAAATGTAAGGAGTGTATGTACATCAACTAAGAGTTTTGGTTTAAGCAGGCAATCTTTTTATTAAACAAAAAAATTTAAATTTCCTCAGGTCTTTTTTTTACCCTTTTTTTAAATCAACAGATTATGGAAAAAAATTGTAAACATACTTGCAAAGATTGCAAATATATATATATATATATATATATATATATATATATATATATATATATATATATATATATATATATATATATATATATCATTTAATTAAATATTTACCACATCATCAAAGTTTTTTAAGCCACTATCATTTAATTCTCCTTCTTGTTTGTAGCCATTCTTTCCTCCGAAAAGCATAAAAATTATAAACAAATAGGGAACATAAAAGTCTAAGAAGAGCAATAGAATACGAATCAGTTCCTCGAGAACATGTCCTGTATTTTTTAAAACAAGTTTGAAGTCAGTAAAATGCAAAAATAAATTCCATAAATTAAAAAAGTAAAAAGTCAAATTTTTTACCTAAGAGAACTGTGAAAACTGAAAATATTGAAAAAATTCTCAAAGTTTTGTATAGTCGAAAGTAAACAAACAAAAGCATTATGCAAGATACATAGTTAGCAGCTCTAAAAAGTCTCATATTTGGTTTAATTATATTTATAATATGCAAAATATATGTTAACAAGACAACCACAACAAGCATAAACTCAAAAATATTCCAAAGATCATTCCATATATTTGCTGAAAGATGGCTAATTCTCTTATACTCTTCTTCAAAGAACTGCTGCTCTTCAAACCATGCAGGATGAAAATATTGCTTCTGCTTTTTGAGCCTTGTAGTTTTGTAGTTTTTGTAGTCATTGATACATTTTGTATTTTGAACAACTGACCATAATTGCTAGAAGAAAAAAAATGTATATACATATTTAAATTATTATATCCATTAAAAATTAAAAAATTAAAAATAAAAGAAACAACAAATATGGAAACAAAAAGTAATCCTAAAGATAATACTCTCATATTAACTTGATCAACTTTTAGTTTCCATAGTTTTATTTATCAATACAAATTAATTTATTTCATTTAATATATTTTGAACTGTTGAGTGTTCCATCATGGCATTAAAAATGCTTTCTTGACATGCATCCAATTAAAGTCAGCAATACAATATATTATTACTATCTTCCAAAAAACATAAATTGACATTAACTATGTTATTGTTCTCAAAACAATGTTGATCAATATGTGTATTATTTAAATATCTAATTATTCACATCAAATATGAATTTATTATATTCATGAACTCATATAAGAAATTTTCTTAGATTCACTATATTAAGTTAACCTTGTAATATAACTCAGTAAAAACTACAATAGAAAGAAAACATAATAATAGTTTTTATCCAACATGGTTGAGAAAAATTTTGAAGGATATCAATTGTGGTTGGTTAAAATAAAGTTCAGAGTTTTTTAAACTATTATAAAACGAAGTATTTAGGTTTAAACATGAATATAACCAGCAATTACACATAGTCATGCACATCACATCTCTTTACTATAATGAAAATCTGAGCATAAAAAATTCCTTTATACAAAAGTAAAGTCAACCCTATTGTGGGAAAATTAGTAATTACTTTTATTGTGGGAAAATTAATAATTTTTTTGCTGTGGGGAAAATAGAAATTGTTTAATTCACTATTCAATTGTAAATGATCTTACTGATGATTGTGCTGTTATTCAAATTCAAGATTAGTCAGTAATGATAAATGAATTCAAGCCCTTAAAATTGCCTGCAAATTTTGTAAGATTTTTCCAGCAATTGGACATTTTTTGTTCTTGAATTTTTGGTGGAATTTTGTTCTTGGGATTTTGGGTTTGCATTTTTGGTTACCAATCCTATTTAGAATTCTAGCCTTCTATATTTATAAATATATAACTAGTACTCTCATTTTTATGTAACGTATGCAGCATAAAAATTAATTAAAAAATAAGTTTTTTACTGAACTCTTCTGCATGAAGACAGAATTGTGGTCTGGTCTGCACCGTTGTCATCTGTAATGTCTTTATTACATTTACAAAAAGTTAAGAATTTATTCAAAAAAAATTACCTTGATCAAAAAGTAAAAAGTTAAAACAAAAAATACACAAGCAATAACAATCTTCCATGCTTTTGCCTTTGGTGGAGAATATTGTTGATCATATGAAGTAAATGGTATTGAATAGACTAAAATTGTTGCCAGCATTGTATATAAAACATTCCAAAAATTACTAATGACTGCATGGCGTCTGCCAAACAAATTCCAATTCACATTTAACAACTTTTGTAAAACAGGATGCATTATTAGGTCAATTCTATTGTGCATAACAACCATCTATACATTAATACAAAATTATCAGAATAAGGTAATATCTGTAGTTGTAAATTTTAAACATTAAAAAAATTGTGATTCAGTAAAAACAAAAATACCTTAATTCCAAGGTAAATCAAACTTTTTTTTTTAAATAATTATTTACAAAAAAGATACTTTTTACACCATTGTTGTTACATTTAAAAATATGAAATTAATCAAAATTCAAAATTAAAACCTCAGCTGCTGAGTGAAACCAACTTATTGTTATTTTTCTAAAATATTTAGGAACTCATTTTAAAATCAAATCAACTTTACTAGCTGTGCTTAAATATATTTTGTCTTTTCTAAAAAAAAAAAATATCAGCAAAATTTGTTATGAATTGCTAGACTGCCTCCCAGACTGTTTTTAAGACAGAGGTTTTTAAGAGGTGAGGCAACCAACCATTGTTCATTTTTTTTTTGACAACATGAACGATCGTTGTTATAAATACCAAAATACCATCTGCAACATTTATTAAAGATGAATATGAAATCAATACAAAATTAAAAGTGATTTCACAACGACACTGCAAACTAAACTCTGATTTCCAAGAATTATATTTTAATATAATTACATTAGTTAGTTATTATTAAGAATTTTACATTTGATTTATTTAAATCTTAACATATCATTGCGGCTTTCATTTTTTTACTGGTGGGCATTAAAGGGCAGTTTTTAAAGTAATATAGCGATTTATCTTCAATGAAAATCTCAGCGTAAGTGAGTCAATGACCTTCTTCTTCTAATTATTATTTAAATTCTGCTTGACGTCCTTTATGGACAAATCTCTATATCATTATGTAATAAATTTTATCATCAAAAGAAATATTTTAAAAAAAAGAAAAGGTTTTGAAAATAGTAAACACGAACTCGTAAGATTCATATTTTACATTTATTGTTAGTTTAATTTAATAATTAATATTAATTATCTTTATAAATAAATTACATAGCGACGTAAAGTTACAATTACAAAGTCTCAACAAAAAAAAAACACAAATATTTAATTACAAAAGAATATTGATCACAAGTAATTGCATGCAATTTTTGTAACGAAGAATACAAATAATTTTTTTTTCATTCTTAGACAAAATGTTATTAAGACCGAAAAAAAAAATTTATCCCTAAAATCTCGATTGCTTGTCCAAATAATATAAGATTTTATATAAATACGTTGTTTAGGTGAAATGAACATCATAGTTTAATAATATGATTTGTTCTGATCATTTATTGGCAATACTAAACTTGTAATTGTAAACTCTTTCTTGAGCTAGGATCTATACTAAATTAAGGCACTTTTTTAAAACTTTTTTATTAAAATTGAAATTTTTCATAAAAAGTTAACGCTGTTGAACAGAATTGAAAAGACTCAAAAACAGTGTTCTTTAGATTTACAAAATGGAGTAATAAATAAGTTTAATATTACTGTGATATACCATAATATAAACAGCTTCTTGATATTTTGAATAAACTTTGTTAAATCAAACAAATTTGTTAACTTTTTAGAATGTACTTAATTTCTTGCTAAATTTTTTTATATAATATTTGCTGATGTCAGAAGGCATTGCAAAGAATTTGCAAACATTGAGAAGAGAATTTTACAAAGCAAGTTGCTGAGAAAATCCCTAAAATCACTAAGAAAATTATAGTTTTCCAAGAGACATTTTCACAATTATGCAATTACGTAGTTATACCAATAACAGCAATTTTGTTTTAAGTTTCACACAATAAATTAGTATTTCTCATGCAGGCTTGGTCGGGAAGTGGGTGCGATCCCACTCGATAATTGACCACGGAAATAATATTTAGTTGCGAAAAACCGGCCAGATTTTTTAGTCATTTTGAGAACATTTCAAAAACAAACAAAAAAGCCCAGTAAGATTAACTGGACCGATGAGAGACAATTTAAAAAAGAAAAATAGCTTTTTACGCGAAAAAACTTTAAGCAAAATAAATTTATTAGAGCAATTATTTTTGAAACTTCACTCTTTTATAATTTTTTTTATAAAATTAGGCGACATTTTTTTATAAAGTAACAACTATAAAGGAACAAATGTTTTTGGATTTATCTAAGAGTATATATAATTTTTATTTATATATTTATGTCTTATTTCCAGTTGCAGATTGAGAAGGTGGGGTAGGGGTAGTAGGACTATAGTCCCGGGACTCACAATGTTAGGGGAAATATTCAAGAAAACCATTCGGTACTTTTTTTTAGTCATTTTTACGCTGTAGCACATAAAAAAGGCTGCCAAAATAATGCAGCCCCCGGCCCTGAAAAGTCCAACAAGATTCAACCAATAAAACTAATGCTAGATGATTTATTTATAAATAAAAAAGTTTTTTCAATAACTGTTTTATGCTTCGCGTAGTTTAAAAAGTTTAACACATTTGAAACAATTCTTCTTAGTAAGATGAACAAATGAAATAATTAAATCATTGTGTTACTGTAGAAATTCAATTAGCTAGATAGAAATTAAGTAA